GCTCGAGGCCGGGGATGTAGCTCAGTGGCACAGCGCCTGCCTGGCAAGTACAAGGTCATGACTTCGATTCCTGGTACCAAATAATAATAAATAAAATAAAGAAAGAAACTCACCCTGATACCTAGGGGGAAATGTGTACTAGGGACATTTTAAAATCCAAGGGGCTACTAGCCTTGTTGGAAAAAAAAGTAAGTAGTATAGAGCAGAAAATATGAAAAAAGTTATAAAGATGTAGTTTTGGTCTGAGAAAATTTTTGGGTTCTTTTTTTTTTTTTTGAGACAAGGTCTCACTATGCAGTTCAGGCTGGCCTTGAGCTCACTTCAAGCCCTGGCCTTGAACTCCCAAGCATCCTCCTGCCTCAGCCTCCCAAGTGCTGGGATTACAGGCGTGTGTGCCACCATGCCCGGCTCTAAACTGGAACATCTGCTTCTTAGAAAGGTCCAAAGTAAAGGACAGACAGCATCCAAACTCCAGTTGGACGGGGGCCTGGGAAGTATGTTCTAAGGAGATAATAAAGCCTGGGCACGGTCCGGGAAAGGCTGCTTCCGCGTTGTACTCAGCCAGTGAGGACAGACCTGTGCGCTAGGCACAAACTGCTCCCGCTGTAACCCCTGGGTGTGGCTGCCTGCAAGACTGACAGCAAAAAGCCTCGGTCTCACTGCTCCTAGTGCCTCTGGGTCCGTTCTTTTGGTTTGGGGAAGTGAACATATTCCTCATGCACCCCCAGTCCTGACAGCCGCAGAGGTCCCCAGGACGGAGCCTGCTGTGTTGGGACACCGTTCGGGGAGCCCGTATCAGCTTTTGTGAGCTGGGTGGGGTAGAGACCAGTGACCACTGCCCCGGAGCTGACTCACTGAGAGCCCCAGGGCCACCGCGCTGTATCCGCCACAGCATCTGCCTCTGCGGAGGGTCCTGGGGTGCAGACAGCCACATCCCTGAGCTGAGGGGCAGCCAATCTGTTCACTCGGGAGGGCTGCACCCCGAGCCCTGCCGTGGACCTGCCTTGGACCTGCCGTGGGGCTGTGGTCTGTAAACCACGCGGAGGGCAGGCTTTGGGGAAGGCGCCTCCTCAGGCCAGAAGCGTCTGAGGCCGCCCACCGCCCTCGAGAGACACAGGCGTCCGCATGGGTGTCGGAGCCCACCTGGGGATGAGGCGCGCAGGGCCGGAGGTGAGGGCACCGTGGAGGTGTGGGGAGAGGAACTGCAAGACAGGGCTGTGGCGATTGCTTCCAGGAGAACGGCGGGCCCCGCAGAGGAGCAGGCAGTGCACAGGTCCGGGGACAGCTGCCCCACAGGCCCGAGGTCAGCAAAGAGCCCACGTGACAGGGCAGCGGGGTGGGGGCCTTCACCCCATGTTAGTGTTCTGTGGATCTGGGGAGGGGCTCTGGTGCCCGCAGGCTTTCAGGCTGTCTCAGGGTGCCCAGGTGCCTCCCTGAGGGACCACGGAGAAGTCTGGGGGCCACCCAGGAGCACCTGGCTCACTCCTTAGGTCCCCACGCGGCTGCCTGGTTGTCACCACAGGCTCTGGCGATTTGTGTTTTTCCGGTACTGGGAATCGAACTCATGACCTCGTGCTTGCCAGGCAGGCGCTGTGCCGCTGAGCTAAATCCCCAGCCCCACGGCGATTTATTTGTTAGGATTCCTCTTAGGATACAGGAGGGTGACTGTATTTGGCTGAACAGATGAGGTGGACAAAGTTGGCCTGGCCTTGGGACACCATGCCTGTGACTGCCTGAGAGTTGGGAATCTGAGAGTCAGGCTCAGGCAGCCTATCTATTTATTCGTTTGTTTGTTTGTCTGAGACAGGGTCTTGCTATAT